ATGTAGCCCAACGAAATGTGAATAATGAATAATATAATGAATAGATGGAACGAATTTGAGAAACAGCAAGAGCTTTCCTAGACTTGTAGATATAATTAGAGGAGGATCCCTCAATCAAAAGGAAAAGGCCTAAGTCTGATTAGGGCTATAAGAATCCAATTAATCGATAATCAACGCATAAACAAAACTTCAATGTGGCCCTATGTGAGAAGATGTATTAATGCTGCAGGATCATACTAAAAGGATCGAATGGAGAATCGAAAAATAACGTGACGCTAAGTGCAATAGTGACTACACACAAGAATAGGATAACTATAAACTTAATTCCAATAAACCAAACCCTAACAAGATTAAGGCTGTGTACTAAAATAAAGTGCGTTTAACTTACTGATGCACGAAAATGCATAATGTGATCAGGAAAAAGCCTAAGCAAAGTTCTTGATCCAACGTAGCCAGCAAAGAAATAGCAACACGAAGCTCCAACAGCTGAACACTAAAAGCATAAATATGTAATGGTAAGTGAAAATGAAACCGCAGTTGGAATTAAGTATTAAACTTACGAGGGCAATAACAAGAAGGGCGACAGGGAAGGGGAACAGGTAGCCCAACAGGATACTAAACAATACAGATCCCGGAATCATAAAAGACTGGAGGCTATTAAAAAGTTAAGGTAAATATACAAATGTGATATAAAATGAACATTCTGAGGTATATAAAAGGATACAATATATAAGAGGATATGATCAGCAGTAAAATTTGCCAATAATAGTTTCCTTTATATGAAGAAAGAACTATTCCCAGCTGCTTTAATTCATGTAGATTGCTAGGGAATTTAATGTGTTCTCTGTATTCACTCAAAGAGTTATGGAAAATAAACAAAGTACTCTGGAAGTTCTGGTAGCCCACGGAGAAGAACAAAGATGAATATAATTGAAAGCAAAAATGGCCCACAGAATATTGCGAAAGGCCTCCATTTTTCTGATGTTTTTATCAAAGACTAAAATAAAGTGATAATAACGAAATAAAAGTTACAGTTTCGTAGTAGAGCATCATCCATTCACGAGTAGCTTGAAAGACGGGGTAGTTGCCTAATTAATTTTAACAAAGCTATTAGGTAAGGTAGTCTACACTAA